AAATATGAAACGTTGTATCTTAAAACTGTATTCTGTAATAAAACTTTAACATCTATTTAACTCTGGTAGTATTTCAATAAGTATAAAATGATTCAGAATAACCTTGATATCGACATTAGATAAAAATTTAATCTTTCGCTTGATCTCAAAACTTAAATCAGATCTTGAACTTTACCTGAGCATAATTTAAGAGTTAAATTAAGCTTTCCATTAAGTTTTAAATTACCAGTCACGGTGTAATAGGAAATCTTGGAGAGCACCTGAAGATTACACACCCAAGCATATTTCACCTAAAGATAGATCATCCTTACGCTACCCGATGGAGTAAGGTAGGTTAGGTTAGGTTAGGATAAATTAGGTTAGGTTAGGATAAATTAGGTTAGGTTAGGTTAGGTTAGGTTAGGTTAGGTTAGGATAAACTAGGTTAGGTTAGGATAAATTAGGTTAGGTTAGGATAAATTAGGTTAGGTTAGGTTAGGTTAGGTTAGGATAAACTAGGTTAGGTTAGGATAAACTAGGTTAGGTTAGGATAAATTAGGTTAGGTTAGGATAAATTAGGTTAGGTTAGGTTAGGTTAGCTTAGGTTAGCATTAGGGTAATATATCTTTAGGTGATATCAGCTGGGGGAACTAATCGGCACGTGATCTAATTTGTAGGTCAATCTGGGCCTTAACTGTTGTAAATAAAATTAATAAATACGCGTTGTAAATCCCAGTAAGAGCTTCCTACATAAAGTTCTCAGTAATTAATGGCTGACATAAATCCTCTTATCAAGGATTTTATTACCCAAAGTTATTTGACTTTCTATTAATAACTCAGGTGTGTTATTTTTCTAAGGTGATTAACAGGTGAGTTACACATGTACGTTATATTTACCTGACGACAGACAGACAGACAGACAGACAGACAGACAGACAGACAGACAGACAGACAGACAGACAGACACACACACACAGGTAAAAGCTTCCAAAATAAACTAACCACACACTACGGGAAGACATTCACAAATCCTCTTACCAAAGCATAAACTCACATTTATACAAGGTGCTTACAAAGGTCGACAAGCAAATACTAACATTCTTTCACTTATGGTCAATATAAGTCATCTCCTTTGTAGGCACCAGTTTACTTAGGAGATTTGGGCGTGGTGGCTTCCCATGTTTAAACTTTTATAAATATTAAACTGTATTGCATGGATTTTTTTTATTTGGAGTTGTGTTATTTGAGTGGATTACTTTTAATAAAACATATTTTCCACTTTAATGCTTTTAAAGGGTTTTATTCCGAATGACGGTCAATTTAACTGTCAATTTTGTATTTATATTGTGTTGTATGAGAAGTATGTTGTATTACCATTGTGTTGTATTACCACTGAGTCTTGATACAACTGGTTTGTTGTATCATTAATGCGTTGTATTACTTTTATATGGTATTACTACTGCCATTTATTCCTCTAGGCACACACACTACACCACCACACAGCAACAAACTACACCACCACACAACAACAGGAACACACTACACCACCACACAGCAACACACTACACCACCACACAACAACACAACACCACCACACAACAACACACTACACCACCACACAGCAACACACTACCACCACCACACACATCACACACAACAACACACTACACCACCACACAGCAACACACTACACCACCACACAGCAACACACTACACCACCACACAGCAACACACTACACCACCACACAACAACACACTACACCACCACACAGCAACACACTACACCACCACACAGCAACACACTACACCACCACACAACAACACACTACACCACCACACAGCAACACACTACACCACCACACAGCAACACACTACACCACCACACAACAACACACTACACCACCACACAGCAACACACTACACCACCACACAGCAACAGGAACACGACATTCACCAGGTACACCAAGACTCGCTACACCAGAAGACAACATGTGGCCGCCTCCCTCTCCTGGTGGAGGAGGAACTACAAGGACCACACGTACGGAATAAGACGCCACCCATCCGGAATAACGTCCTCCAGATGAAGATTTATCTTGTCATTACTTAGTCTCTCCAGTTTCCGGGTCGTAACATCCCAACGCTGAAGTGAGGTAGCCAAGTCACGGCCGTCAGTTGTTTATTGTATACTCGGGGAATGTTTGTTTGTGTTCTTATATAATTTCAACATCAACGGAAGTTTCTAAAAATATTATGAGAGGTGAAAATATCCTATTCGAAACTTTTTATGGTCTTGCACTTCTGTCAATAGATGATTTTTCTCTCGCGCTGCCAACGATTTTAAACTTGTATTTGTACGTGACCCGCCGGAGTCCTGGACACGCTCTATAACCATGTCCGCTTTTCATTATAGAATGTAAGGACAAGGAGACACGTAAAACACTTGAACTCATTATCTCGGACAACTTGAACATATTTATCACAAATAACTTCATGTTTAGTCTTCTTATTCCTCCTTCTGTTCACTGTGTTGTTATTCTCCTTCCTGGGCGTCTCTCAGGTATAGCGCCAACGGTGTGGTGTCTTACCGATGCTCTAAGGATGTCCCATGTGAGAGCGTCCTGTGGCATCGAGCGACCAGGGCGTAGACGCGCGACCTACTTTCCAAAGCGAACTCTATCCCACCTGCCAGCGTCTTGCCAGCGTAAAGATGAGGTCTATCTACCCATCATAGACGTTTGCTGGTACTTTTAGAAAATAATGTTTTTCAACGTGTGGTACCTGCAGAAGTACCTAGGAAAAGACATCCCATATATCAGAGGAGGATGCAGGATGGAACTAGGCGAATTTCACCATCTCTACAAGGAACTTCACCAAGATCCAAAGAAATTTTCACGAGTACGCAAGGATCTATTCCGTGGCAAGATCAAACTGTTAACGGTGGAAAATGAATGTATAGCCTTCTTTAGTTTTGGTGGAAACGATGATAAAAATATTTGATCACCGTTTCCAGGTCGCACGTCTAGTTCCCGCTTCCTGGTCGCTCGCGAACGATTCAAGAGTCTACGTGGGACACATCAGAGAAAACATATGTGTTTGTCCACTACACCAAGGTAGCGCGTTTACTTGTGTGGTCGTTTGATGCCGCAGGACTCTCGCTCATGGGACATAGCATAACTTACCGGGCCAGGTAGGAACTCATTCATACGGTTAAGTGACGTTTAGGTCCCTACCGGTAAAATAAAACAGCTCAAATAATCACCAGCAGTCGGTATTCCTCTCCACGCTACAATAACACGCCCCAGGTACCAACATTTAGACTGACTAAGAGAATGTGTCGTGGTGTGACGCTCACGTACGCGTCACCAACAGGAAACGTAGCGAGTCTCACATGTTTCATCAAGTTGAAGTCACGTTTGTCTCTGTGTGAATATGTTTACTTATTGTTTTTAAGCGCAAGTTCTGCGTAATTCAACTTCATCCATCCAGTTCACTATTAGTTCTGATCGCTGAGTGACGGTAAATTTTAATTTAAAATCCCATTAGTATTTTTATCAAAACACAATTAAGCTTTGGTGTTTATTTTGTTACACTGACGCAGAATTTGTGCAATTAAGACATTTCATTTAAAGTAAAACACTAAACGGTAATTGATATTTTACCGGTGCAATTAATATACAAACAAATATATATCGAAATGTGTACTGTAATACCAGTGTTCCGAAAGCTTAATAGAGACTAAACAAAAGCTTGTACACAGTGGCATCACACATCAACAAGAGGAGACGAGTCATTACTTAGTGAAGACTGAGGTCGGTGGGTAACATTACCTTAAAACCTGAGGAAAACTTCTCAAGTGGCACTCATATATATATCAAAGCTGATATTTGAAGAGCATTTTTCACGCCCCAAAAAATAATGATATACATAGCCACTTTTTTATTTATTTTTATTTTGGTAGATTAAATCATGAAACAGCGATTGTCACTTGTTCTAACACTCATGACGTCACTGAGGAAAATACAACGAATGCCACCCACGATTCTTCCAACAAATATATCATGTTAGATAATTTTATGTCATCTTTTATAAATAATCCCAAATATTTTCCTAAATTAAGATTAGTTTTTTGATGATATTGAAAAATTACAGCAAGTCTAGAAAATATATAACACGAAATGAATACATGTTCTCAGGTACCAGACGTGGGCGTGATGAGTCTGGCCAGGAGCTAGATTTATGACTACAGCTTTAAGTTAATACCATATATCTCTTTTTAACGTCTCATGTTTGAAATGTACTACACTGTATATATAATTTCCATATAGATGTGTAGATTTACGTCGATTTAACCTGCTTGTTTAGTTCTATAAGCATCACTGTGAATTACCGAGGTTTTACTCAGCTGAATCACCCAGAACACCGAGAGGCGGAACTGGTTATTGGCCGATTGCATCCTGAATTGTTATTTGTCTACGCTAAAGTATGCCCCAATTATTTCTTCCCACGTTTTTGACAGTTTTATGTAAAGTACCAACAATAACATTGATGAAAATGGGAATACAGTTGACCTTTGACCTCTCCAACATCTGGCCATAGTAATTGACCCCCACCCTATACTTCTCATAAATTACATTCTTTGCTGTGTTTACCTGGTGCATGTTTAAGGAAGCTACACCCCCCCACACAAAGCCTGAACCATGATGGCAAGATTATTATATTTTTGTTCACTGAATGTCTGTAATTCTCTGACCTTGTATTTTGTTTCACTTCCAAACCAGTTGACGCCAGTGGCTGATTCCACCATGTAATTTCCTTATCTCCCCTCCATCTCCCAACATCTCCCCACCATCTCCCAACATCTCCCTATCATTAAAGACCATTATCTCCCCACCCACTCCCAGCATCTCCCCAACATTAAGGTCATCATCTCCACACCATCTCCCCAACACTAAGATCATCTCCCCACCCTCGCCCAGCATCACCTGAGTGAAGCTGTGAACCAACTTGTCTCTCGCCTTCAGGAGATGATCCTGGAGATGAACCGCGTGGGGATGCTGGTGGATGTGTCGCACGCCTCGGCCAGGACGGCGCGGGACGTGCTGGCCACCTCCCGCGCCCCCGTCATCTTCTCCCACTCGGCTGCCCGCGCCCTCTGTGACATAGAGAGGAACGTGCCCGACGACATCCTCAGCTCCCTGGTGAGTACCTCCCGGCCGCCTCCTTCTGCCTCCTTGTTAGGATGTTTCTGTGTCTTGTTACCTCCCCCCATCCCTCTCTCTCTCTCTCTCATAATGTTCGTACATCCTTCCCTCCTCCTCCATATAACACAAAGTTTCTGTTATTACCATTAACACGATGAGTCAGTAAGGTGGTGCACCAAATTACCAAATGGCTGCGATCATTAAAATTTTCATGAGTTGTTCGGTTAAGATAATGTTTACTTTTATAGTATGAACCTCCAGAAATGTGTACTGTGAAGTCTTGGCCATTTGGGGATTAGCTAATAAAAATACTAGAAAATTAATATTAAAAGATTATTAAATCAAGACATTTCTCGAGTATCTACTACATTGGTTTGTTTTTTTATCTGACGTTTTTCCCCAAGTTCATCTGACACGTGATGAATGTATAGAGTAATAACTGTCAGATACTGATGGACAACACTTGATTGAATAAAAACAAGAATCACAGTTTCAACCTAGACGTGGTAAAAATTAGATAGAAAAGATTTTTGGAAGGGTTACTGATCAGGTGACAGTAGATCAGCTGGTCAGCATAGTTGGAAGGTATGCTGTTTAGTTGGAGCAAAAGGACATTCTTTGGTCATCTGAAATCTGTCATGGCGTGTGTCAGACAACTTAAAAACACAAACGCAGAGTAAAGGTGGCGCCCTCTGTCACAGTAGAATCATGGCTAACATTACTGGACGAACGAGTCTCTTTACACCTGAGATATATAAAGTATAGATGGACTAGATCTTAAGAGTCTCTGTTGTCAATTTTGAAATGTAAAGTGGGTCGGTTACAGCTCCAGGAGAGGAGAGTTAAGAGTGTTGACGGTGTTGTCCTCCTTAGTGACGAGACCCGCGGTGGCTCACACACGCGCATTATATTCCCCTCAACGATCACACACTCATGTGACCTACAAGTGAAATAGGGCATAAGAGAGACCAGATGTTATTGGGAGGAGTTCTTCTATATGACGGTTTTACGATGGTGTTGTTGTGACGACGAATAAAAAGTGTGTGTGTGTGTGTGTGTGTGTGTGTGTGTGTGTGTGTGTGTGTGTGCTCATGTCTGGATGTAACGTTTCTTTTGTTTTCGTCATATTTCGTTTTTTGTGAATGATCTTTATGACGGTAATAAAAGTGGGAATCTTACGCGTGTGGTTTTAAGAAATTTGGATCGATAAGGAGCAGATCAGCACCTGCAGGCTCGTCTCTTAAAGCCGCTCTGGAGGGAAGCCATGAGTGCACCTGAATCTTCTGTAATGGAAAATATTGTTTTTGCTTCACTTTGGTGGCTTACGTTAGCCTTACAACACACCTCATTTAATCTTATCTTACCACGGCTTCTCCTCCTCATTCATCTTGCTTTTCATACCAGTGGAAAAGTAGATGTTTGTTCCCTCTGTCTCTCCGGTAGCTCGACTTATGGGAAATGCTTCAGTTAATCTAAGTTTGGGCTTGTTGATAATCTCATGGTCAAAGCGTTTATCATGTCAAGTGTTGCTGGTGAGTAACTTGGACCATCTATTGTATTGTTCTACTTTTAGTCGCTTCACCACGTTCACCAGCCCTGACCGCCTCGTGTGTTCAGGTGATCTTTGACTGAGAGTTGAAAAAGAACTAAGGATTATGGTATATCTTTGAAGCCTTGAGAATAATTTCGCAGCTCCACAAACTTAAGAAAAACATTAGATGACACATTTTTCTACGCCCTGTGTCTGGTGTTTAATTTTGCTGTCTAATTAGTTACATACCAACGTCACATTCATTCCTATTTAATTTTACTGTCTTTTGTTATACCTCCTCCCTTCTGCATAATGTAATGAAATCCACCATGTCCTCTCTCTCGAATCTCTCTCTCGAATCTCTCTCTGTCCATAAATAATATATGAAATTATTTTGCCTAATAACGGCAGTACGTGAACCTATCGAAAAAAACACCACCACCACCACCACCACCAACAAAAGTACTACCACCATCATCTCCACCAATACAATTACCACCATCTCCACCATCACCACCATAAACACCACCAACACCACGCCATGACCTGATTTCACTTTAGCAGGAGTAATTTGACCTAAGGTGACCTAAGGTGACCTAAGGTGTGTGTCTCCCCCACAGGCGGTGAACGGAGGCATCGTGATGGTGAGTTTCTACAACAACTTCCTGACGTGTGGGGAAGCGGCCTCTATCAAGGACGTCATCGGTAAGTGTTCCTAACCTAACCTAACCTAACCTAACCTAACCTAATCCTCGATGACACACACACGCTCTCCTCCCCACACACAGGGGATGGAGGCAAGACGGGGATCATTAGGCAGAGAGATGTTCCTCACACACCAGGAGAGGTGAAAGGAGGTGCAGGTGACGTGTAAGACGCGAGATAGATGCCTGTTGTGTGTTCCAATACGCGTAAGTGTGTAGTAATGTGCTAAAGCAGGGAGAACACCCTTAATGGATGAGAAAAGGGGAGAAACAATTAAGATTAATGTTGTCTTTGGAGTTGTAAACAGTCGCATCATATAGTTGACGGGGTGAATGGTTCAGTTGTCATGTATTGATTGATGAAGTGTTCGATGACGATTATGATAACTATCTTCTTTATATTATTATTTAATATTAAATGTTTCAGAAAACACAATAATGTTATATATAACGTTAACAATGTTGACGATGAAAATTATTGGTTCAGTGATTATTAATTAATAATTAGTGCCTTGACAATGTGGTAAACATTAATGAATGAACGGTAACATTTGTTGGTATAATAATGGTAACGTTATCAAATAACAATTTGAAGAAGGAAAAAAAATTATGATTTTGGTTGTCGTGCGGGAGTGACCACACTTTTATGTTCCCGCTAATGATAAATAAACCTGTAAATTCCCCTGGATCCTAAAATCCTTTAGATTCACTTTTTTGCTGTTCAACGTTTTTATTTGTTTTATGTTCGCTAAAGAATTATGCGAAAACCAGAGGAATGAACAGTTTGAATTTACACTTATTTACACCTGTCTCCACATGATCCAACAGAACACCAGGTGGAGGAGAGTGGAACACCTGTACCGATAAACAGTTCACATGATAAACAGTGACGAATAAAGAACTCAAAACTAATTCAATAGTAAGGACCTACAGTATGTACCATTGTTATATAAAATGTTATGCAATGAAAAGCTTCAGAGAACTAGGATGCCTCGGACAGCTTCCACAAGTTAGGTGTGTCATTCATTACCTGTAACGCACCTGGCTGCTGCCCTCTCATCCTTCACAGTGAAACACCAGGAGAAAAAAGCTTTATACACAACTATAAATTACCTGGTCTGAGTAGGACGGCTTTAAAGATATAACCACATCATCTAGAGGTACATAATATTTCGCTGTTATAACATACACGATACTAAGCCTTCTATATCTTCTTTGTATTTTTTAAACTTATATCTGGCCATAGATAACCATGTAGTTCATCATATTAGGTAAACATTAATAGGTTCATATAAAACCTAACCTAACCTAACCTAACCTAACCTAACCTAACCTAACCTAACCTAACCTAACCTAACCTAACCTAACCTAACTTAACTAGTTTCGGATAAAAATTATTAAATATAAAGTTACTTAAAACAACAGTAAAAGCTTCAACTATACAAATGAAGGGAAAACAAATATCATAATAATAAATACAAATAATAAATAACTAAATAAATCCTGAAACTAATTACAAAATATGTTAAGCTTTTTGTCTTGAATATTACATTGTTACTGCGATGTACACCCCCGGACACCTGCTCTCGGAACTTGACCAATAAGTTCGTCTTTGTATTATCATCTCGACTTCATTATAAGTTACAAGATCACTTCTGAGTTTATCAATCACCCTTTGGATAATATTTACTTATTTTAACCTAAATGTCAACAAATAAGTGGCTTAAACAATACAAAAACATCCAAATGAAAATAGAAATCCACCATATGGCTCAACTTTCCCCCGATGTATTCGCCAGATACTTGAGGAAATAGATGTTTCTTAGACTACAGAATTAATCCATAAGAAAAACATTTGTCTTGTACTTACATTGACGTGTGAGGGACATAATGGCGAGAGGAGGGACGGGAAGGGCAGTGGGAGGACACGGTAATGGGTCGACTGGTTAGGATTTATTCACGAAATATATACATATGTAAACACACAAAACACAAATATACGTAGGCATACACCAACACATATACACACAAAGATATCCATAGGGACAAATACTTATTCAGATAATATCCACAATAGCCACACACCAACGTCACCCACAAACAAGTCCGATGGTAAATAATACACAATAGTTTCTGTATATTGTGTTCTAGGAATAAAATAATTGGCACCGTCCCATATGAAACAAACATTGAACTTTGTGCAAACGAACACAGGGAGTAACAGCCACTCACCCGTCTGTGTAATAATAGTTGGGGAGGCTGTGTCAGTCTGTGTAATAGACATAGGGGAGGCTGTGTCAGTCTGTGTAATAGACATAGGGGAGGCTGTGTCAGTCTGTGTAATAGACATAGGGGAGGCTGTGTCAGTCTGTGTAATAGACATAGGGGAAGCTGAGATTACAAGATTATCTGTTATGTCAAAGATTTATCATTGGCTCAGTTATAATCTAATCTACCAACACCTCTGCTAGACACGCCTAACTTAACAAAATGAATCCTCCTAATCTGTACTCACGGAACGTAATAATATAAATAACGAAGTAAATGAAACAATATTTACAGATTTGATAAAGGACACACAAAAAGAGACAGATTTCCTTCTATCGGTTTTCTCTTTATTTCTCTTTGTTCCCCAGATTTTCACCCTAATTCCAAATCTCTCTTTCTCTTTCTCTCTCTCCCCTGGTCTCTTCACCACCACATATCTATCCAACCTTTCCTAGCGTCATCAAATCCCAGATACTATAGCTTGTCTTTGTTTCTGGCCCCTGGACGTCTCTCTCTCTCTCTCTCTCTCTCTCTCTCTCTCTCTCTCTCTCTCTCTCTCTCTCTCTCTCTCTCTCTCTCTCTCTCCACTATAATATTAATCAGAGGAGCAAGAGAGGGTACAAGGTGATTTATCCCACCTGTATTTTGCGAACTAAGGGTCGTTATCTTACCTGAGCTCTTCTTAAAACCTCTACACTACAGGGCCTGCGGGATAGTAGCTATCAACTTGGTCATCCCCGACTTGTCTTCCTCAATATCCGTTCCTTGAGTAAACTTGCCCCTCAGCTCCGAGTAAAGAGAGAAACGAAAGATTATTGGGTTCTCCTCCAGATTTAGACACACCGGTTTATTTCACTTGAAGACCAGCCACCTAACCTAACCGAACTTAAACTAATCTAACTTAACCTAATTTAATCCAATTAATTTTGTGAAATGGCGTTCGTTCTTTACCACGGTACAAGAAAGACGAATTCTGTGTTGACCAAAGATAATTCTATACCAATAAGCTCTATATGCTCTGGGTCGTCTTGGAGTGAGAGTTGAGGTAAGACAAGTACAGTTCACGTATATTGGTGTTCACATTTGAAGGTCACCACCACCCCTTTCTCCTCCCCCTGACCTCTCAACATCACCTCGATCTATTTATGAGTCACGAAGCAGCAAGTCGTGTCTAGGTTTAGAATGAGTTGTCGTACCAAGCTCCTCTATCACGTCAAGAGTCGATGATAGGATGTGGGGGAGAGAGGGAAGGAAAAGGTGGAATATATTGACTAACCAGAAAGGCAATGCGTGTTATACTGTAGGTACGAGGTAACTTGTGCAAATTCCGATTTTTTTTTTCTTTTTTAATGTGTAGTGTTGGGTAAAATGCGACTTTAAAGTAAGTCTCTCTCTCTCTCTCTCTCTCTCTCTCTCTCTCTCTCTCTCTCTCTCTCTGTGTGTGTGTGTGTGTGTGTGTGTGTGTGTGTGTGTGTGTAATTCCTCCCTTGTTTCGTCTTATTGAAGGGACAGATCCTGATGAAGGGCGAGGGAGGGAGAGAGATGTAACACATATCTCTTCCCATTTCTCTCCTTTCAATTCTTCTTTCTCTCTCTCTCTCACTTTCAATATTTTGTCCTCTATTATCTCATTCTTTATCCCTTCTCTTTCTCGTCTCTCCTTCTCTTCTTTCCATCTTGTGGTTATTGTCCCCCTTAGCCATGTCTTACTGAAGCAATTGGTCTTGATGAAAGTTGATCGAGGGAGGTAAAGTCTTTCTCTCTCTTTCCCCCTACTATATTTCTCGCTGTATCCCCTTGTTGTACAGGTCAGCCTCTGGTGTACATTGAGGTAGGAATGGCCATGTGTGTGTGTGTGTGGAGAAATATCTTACTGCCACACTCTCCCTCACCACCACACTCTCCCTCACCACCATCTTACAGATTCATCCCTCCTTCAAGAAAGAAGTTAAATACGTGAACTTCCTCAATTCTCTAAGAGTGTATCATCTCCTCTACCTCTCTCTGCCTGCTGCTCCTTCTGTTATCTCTGTTTTCTATTGTTTTATGGGTTTTTCCTCACGCTGGATTATCTTGTCATTACTAATTCCGAAAGTTTGTTAATCTTATGTAAATTCTTCCTCCTTTCTTCAGTTACGTCATCAGTATTTTTTTTTAATAACATGAGTTCGTTTTAAGTCCACAAGGATCTAAATTAAAAGTCTTTATAGAGAAATATGCATTCAAGGACAGATTTAGGAATATAGTGTAGGTAGTTTTATTCTTATATGGTTAACGTTTCATAAACAAGATACGAAGGACATTGTACAGATGTTTAAGTCATGATAGAGAACAGAGAACCGGGTTACTCCGTAGTTGTCTCCAATACAGATAATTATTTAGAGTTTTGTTAATATTTCCATTCGCTTCACCCTGAACAACAAAGATATCTAGCATTTGTTCTATTTCTCCTTTGTAACTTTATTAAGACACGAATTTCTTTACGATTATTTTGTCTATTTTTCATTGTCTGCAACGAATTCAGTGTATTTGATAATTATAACCACATTATAAAATAGGGACGACAAAATAAGATATAAACGTAAAGTGTGGCAGAGGGATTGTGGTTCTGTGAGTGATCGAAGAGGCTACAGGTTATGCATCTCTGTTTGATTGTTTCAGTGGTGTGTTGAAACGGGTTCTCGAGGCTTCTGAGAAATAGGAAGGTGAGTGGGTTGTTCCTCCTCCCTGCCTCTTGTGTTTCCGGTCCTTCTCAGCAGTTCTGGAATGGTTCATGGATTCCATTTGTGTCTCAGTGGTACACTTGGCTTCATGCTGGCCACTCACGCAAGGAGACTAAGAGCTTTGTTAAGAGGAACTCGAATATCCCCGCTTGAGGTGTTCTTCGTGACCTTGGTGTGGTTGGTATACAGGAGTCATGGTGTAAGTGGACAATGATACGCGGATCCACTGTGTACTGCATTATGTTAAGTGAGAGGTTGGAAGGACAGATACTTGGTCAGTCCATATACATATATACAATGACGTGTAATTCCAAGCAAGTCATAAGAACGGTGTAAAAATAAAAAAATAAATAAATAATATGAGAAAATATGAGTCAACGATATAAATGAAAAAAAAACTTTCCCAGAATACACTTTTGCATTCATGAAAGAAAGATTCATGCTCTTCTAAAACCCTTCAGTATTATTCATTGTTCTAAAGTGCCCCTACCAGTCCTCCTCCTCCTCCTCCCGGTCCCTACAACAGCTACCCCACCATACATAAAATATACCTTCGGCCCAGCAGCGTCTTGGTCGTTTCCTCTGCCACCACCGTCAGCTCCTTCGCTCTTTCTGATCTTATCTATGTTAGAAACGCTCTCAACTCCTGCCTCTCTCTCCTCGTATACAATTCAGCACTTTCCAAAATTTTTCTCTTCCAGCTCACATTCTGATTCGCTCACCACATGCTAAAAAAAAAAAGGAGAAATCCATTACATTCTCATTAATTACGAGTGTCCTTCTCACGTCTCTCTTCATTTCTTTGTTCCACTAACCTAAGCTTTGTTCTCCGCTCAGTGTGTGTGTGTGTGTGTCTCCTCTAATCCACCACTGCCTGGTCTTATCACTACATAAAAGTTCTTCTTCTTGATAACTTTATCCTTGTGCGTCCTTCCTCCCCGTAACAACTTCTCCATTTTACAACTTGTCTCTCTCTCTCTCTCTCTCTCTCTCTCCTTCCTTCTTGGGCTATCTATCCTTCCTGACATCCTACGTAAGTGCATGTCCTCCTCAGCACCTTATCTGAGTACGTGTTCTAAAAACGTGTTTTCGTTAACAATCACCTCGAGTAAAAATCCTCCTTGGACTCTCTGGTACTTTAATCTATCTCCATTTCTTTATTTTTGTAATTAAATAATGAACTTATTCACAGCGTGTGATGGCACAGTGCGTGGAGGTACAGAATGTGGTGGTACAGTGCGTGGAGGTACAGAATGTGGTGGTACAGTGCGTGGAGGTACAGAATGTGGTGGTACAGTGCGTGGAGGTACAGTGTGTGGAGGTACAGTGTGTGGGGGTATTGTGTGTGGGGGTAAAGAGTGTGGAGATACAGTGTGCAATATTACAGTGTGTGATGATACAGTGTGCAATATTACAGTGTGTGATGGTACAGCGTGTAGTGTTACAGTGTGTGGCGGTACACTGTGTGGTGGTAGAGCGTATAGAGGTATAACTTGAGTGGGAGCACTGCTTGCGGTGGCACAGTGTGTGATCTGTGGTGATACAAGATGTGACGGTGCATAGTGTGTTGGTACAGTTGTTGATGGTACAGAATGTGGTGGTACAGTATGCGAAGGTACAGTGATGGCACAGGGTGAGGTGAATTATTTCACTACACTATGTCACTGAATTATGTACAATGTAGCCGAATGAATGAGTGAACAGGAGGTGTAGTGATTGCATGGGCTGTGGGCTGGACACAGGGTGGAAGAGAGGACTGTGTGTGTGTGTGTTACCTCTCGAGTAATGAGCAGCTCCAGGCTGGGTCAAAGTCGAAGACAAAAATGTTTTCAGTAAAGAGATAGAGATTGACTCTTCCGTATGAGTTGATGGCATCATTGGAAACATCAAAGGACTGATAATAGAGTCCTGATTAACTGATGATACTGATGGATGATGGAATGATTTTCACTTTGATGAAGTATCGTTAAGAAAGTGGAGCTTATTTCAAAACTAGCAAAACTACCCGGCTTCGCATGAGTTAAGTGTATGCTGTATAACCTTGACAGTCAGTCTACCCTTCTTGACACGGGTAAACCACCTGTCGCAATCGCCGTGGTGATATCTCAGTCAGGGAACAATTTTGGTTCTTGCCTGGACCACCAAGGCATGTGATATGTGAGTAAAGTTTAAAGTCTCTAACTACTCCGAGAGTCAAAGTTATTATCAGTTACTCCGATTTATGTCAAGACGACGTTATCAGTTTGTTTTCTTGGATGGATTTGGGAGATGAGTGGAGGGGAAGGGATTGCCATTTATTTTACCTACGGGAAACAACCCGGTTCTCCACTGGTTCAGAGTTTATCAGGGTTTAATGAGATGTCTTTCTGGCCACTATTGATGTGTTCAGTGGGACCATCACACAGTTTCAGAGAAGGATTTGGCGATTAAGCTCCCAGGTGATGTCTGAGGGTGAGAAGTATGGCTGCTGCACCTGAACACCACAGACTCTGAGCTGTTGGGAGGCTATCAGGGATGGCTGGTGCCTTTCATCCCTTGGTGTCAAGGGACAACCACTTGCTGTTTAGTGATGTAAATAACCCTAATGGGAGTTGCCGGGAGTAATTTGTTTAACACTTTTTCTCTGCCCCACTGAGCCCTGTCATACATAATTGGCGGGCAGGAATACTTATGGGAGAAATGTCCTCGGTCATGTAAGTATAAGTGGTGTAGAGACTCTTTATAAGTTGATAACAGTGGACGGATCTGGAAACAAATAAATTCTGTGACGTCAACACGATGAACTATGACGGGTGGTGTAACTGTGGTACGCTGGAAACTGCCTTGTATTCTTTATAAACGCTTAACTTTAGGTAGATAATTAACTTTGGGTCTGTGTAAGCTTCCTGGCCGCCTGGTGTACATTAGGGGTCTCCATGGTGCGTATAAAATATTGCTCTTCTGTGTTTGGTTATCCGGATAAAACCACCTCTATCCCTGCTCTTGTGTGTGTGTAACATATTGCCTTCTGCCACTCTATAAGATTTCTCCTGTGGTTTTGTGATTTTCTCTCCCTCGTTGAGTTAAGGTTTTAGTGTTGTATTTCAAGTGTGATGCCTTTTAGTGATCAACACTGCAAGTCAAAAGCTCAGGCTAGACTGTTAAGCTCTTACATATACGGTATTGAGCAGAAACTAGTTATGGTTCACCGGTTTAGGAACTGTGCTCACCATTTTTTACAACACTAATCCTGAATACGTCAATAATGGAGAGGGAAACAGTGCAGAGGAGATGGTGGTGGTAAGCATAAGAGGAGAGAACAGGGCTCGGACAAGTCACCCTCAGTACATCTACATACTGATAGGCACTTCGTCACTAACACCATACTGTCACACTAGAAAGTTGAGGTCAGACGAATGCCGAACCTTGCGTCACAAAGAGCTCGCTTAAACCCAGTTCTAAATTTCCATTCCATTCAGATTAACCAAATGGAACTTCTTACAAGTTTGGTAAAGCCGTCATTAATATGGACAAGGCTGCCTCCATACGCTGAACGTCTCTGCTAAGCTGAGATCATGATATATCCCGTGGGGGAGAACAGGAATATATGCAAATATATTCTCCAGTCGTATACTCTGAGTCTGTATATTCTGAGTCTGTGTTGTGTAAATACCTTGAGTGAATTTACCTGGGGATGTATAGATAACATGTATATGTATACGACCCAAGGACGATGTTTCCACGCATTCTCTAACTTGTCCAAGTTAACTCAAAGTACATCAAACGTAATGTTTTACCTGACAATATTAAAAATTTATAAGAATTTTGTTTATTTTGACAATCGTCGTGTTAGTCCTTAATACACTAGTGTTAACATGATGGTAATGTTTACAGTTGTGAAGTCCAGTGTATGGTAAACCTCATTAACGTAATGATAACTTGCCAGTAATGTTAATTTTTGTATTAGCCCAGTGTTTGGTGATGTTAGGAGTAAACATGGTAGTGATAGTACTGAATATGATATCCTCATCATGGTAGTACGGTTAATGTTAGTAGTAAACACGGTAAACTATCATGGTCGTAATAATAGTATTATTAAACATGAAACACTATCATGGTGGTAGTAGTAGTAATAATAATAATGTCACACTATCATGGTAGTAATGGTAATGTTATCCGGCAGCTCACATCAACCATGTCCGCAGCATGGCGGGGGTGGACTACGTGGGGCTGGGAGCTGGCTACGACGGCATCAACAGGTGGGTCATGACACACCTTGTAACATACCTTGTAACACACCTTGTAACACACTGTAACACACCTTGTAACACTTTGTAACACACTGTAACACGCCTTGTAACACACCTTGTAACACACCTTGTAACACACCTTGTAACACACCTTTTATCACACCTTTTAACACACCTTGTAACACACCTGAACTAGTCATTATTAAGGGCACGATAGCTAAGGTCAAAATCCCAAATATCACAAGACAATAGAACCTTGAACACTCCATCACTAGTGAAACGAAGAGAAACAGGTACATAAATAGAGAGACAGAAATTAAGTTGGTATTATTATTATTATTATTATTATTATTATTATTATTATTATTATTATTATTATCATTATCATCATCCGGTTGAGAGACATAATACATGTTAAGTACACGTTAAGGATATGTTCTTTGTATAGGACTCCCGCGGGCCTGGAGGACGTGTCTAGGTATCCTGAACTGTTCGCCGAGCTGCTGAAGGATACCTCCTGGTCTCTTCAGGACCTCAAGAAGCTGGCGGGCCTCAACCTCCTGCGGGTGTTGAGGAAAGTGGAGCAGGTACTGGTGGTGGTGTTGACGATCTCTTGTTATTACGATGTTACTTCTGCTGTGTGTGTGTGTGTGTGTGTGTGTGTGTTCACCTTCTATCCAATATGCATGTGCGTGTGTTAAACAATGTGCACACTGCTCGTAACCATCAACAAACGTCAGCAGGAAGAAACCGACTGACAGCCCTGGAGGAGGATATTTGACCAGGGAGAGAGAGCAAGATGCTGACACTGATCTAAGGCAGCCAATAAGCTGACACAGATTGGTTATTTCTTTCCTTCTTGTAATATAACGCAGATACCCAGACAATCTGCCTCAGCTCCCGGCCACGCACCTTATGTCCACCAAACTCTAATATGTAAATGTTGATACGAGCAGATTGTACTTTGAGGGATTCCTGAGACACCGTGGGATGAGAGCAAGAGGAGTTTGATGGGAAAGAAAGAACCAATGCAAAGACAGAAATTGACTTACTTTGTTCTGATTGGTGACTTCTGCGATTTCTGTATGAAATTTTTCTTACATTACAGAGGAGCGGATGATTAGGAGACAATTTACGTACTTTTGTGAGAGCTGAGAACTTTATCACGTGTTGAGTGGAGGACGTGGGAGGAGGAAATATTATAGGATAGGGTGATTTACCTTTATTGGGTGACACAATTGATTATTATTGATATAATTGACGTGAAGCTTTGATAGACTTTGTTGCTATTAATTTTACGTAGCTAATTAAGAGCTGCGACAAGCGTGAAGGTTCCCTAATTATACAAGTACGGTATACATAAAAATAATTTTAATGAGAGTAATTAATCTGTATTTTTTTTCTAATCAGATAAATGAGCTAAAACAAACTCACTTATAAATGATGAAAATAATATAAAGACAATATAAAATATTAGAAAATAAATGAGAAAATTATCCATATCTAAAAGAAGGATTTACAAGACGTGTAAACATATTATGCATATACGATTATTTACAGTATTACCAGGCCAGTGTGGGAGTTCTGACCCCCACCTGGACCAAGCAGGAGTTTAATGACGCTGGCTGCCTCATACACCACTTAACTGTTAAATATAGTCAACAAAATGAGAAAATACAACTATTTCAAGAATTAACTTTAAACACAAAATATTTAACACTATATTGTGATGAATATCTTAAGAAACAGTTCATTAACGCACTGACAGTCTTGCTGATATCTATCGACTGTACAAACTGGAAATGACAGAGAAAGAGAGATGGAACCCGAACCACGACTGTCATAAAAGATGTTTATTTATGAAGACATTTTACATGACAACTGAAAAGAAGGAAATTTCAATAGATGGAATTTTAGACAAGGTGAAATATAGACGATACTGAGTTATATTAAATTCGCTCTTTGTAAGATAAACTTGGGTACAAACCACGAGGTAGGAGAGAGAGACTTTAGATGAGACAGAAAACAAATAAAAACACGTAACGAAACTTTTCACATAACTGTCCTTTACTACCGGACAATACTACCGGACAGTTCTCCGCTACTAGAGTGCTCCTTCTGACTGTTTCTGAACTGTCCATAGTCAGACAGATCACTATAGAGCCATACACACTGGACAATTTACCAGTTAACAGTTCATGACCGGATTTTGTCAATGAAAACATTCCACCAGACAGTTTCTCACCAATGTCACACGTCACCTGGCCGCTGGACAATTATTTTCACCGGACAATTTGATTCTGAACCATAATCTATCAGACAACTTGTCACTGGACTGTTAACTGCTGGACACTTCATCGCCGCACGATTCCGCTCTACATAGACAAATATCTGGCCACATGACAGTTTAATGACTGGACTTCCATCATCTGACAGTTTGATGAGTGACTAACCAACTTGACAGTTCACTACAGGCTACATATATAGATATTTTATGATTGTTTCTATGACACTTATCCAGTCAGTAAGTGGTAACAAAGTGTATTACAGCAAACGTAAGTAAATGTTCTGAACCAAACTGATACAAGTCAGTAACATCATTATTTCTTAACTTCAGTATTGTTTTATCTTTACTAATCAATTTTTTCACTTTATATTTAAGGTGTTACTGTTGTAGGTAAATTGTATCATTATTATTATTCTTAACTTGAAATATAATATGTCTTCTGTTTTATAATTATGTTCAATATTTATAAGTAGATTCCTCTCCTAGTCCAGGAATGGCCCAACCTTCACCACTACTTCGCCACTTCCCCTACCACTACCATTACCATCACCACCTTTGCTCCTGCCTTCACTACCCTCACCACCACTACCCCACCACTACTACTACTACTACCCCCCACCCCACCACCGCCACTTCCCCCACTAACACTGGTGTCGTCTCAGGTGCGCGAGCAGCTGGCGGGGGAGAAGCCGTCCGAGGAAATTATCCCCATCCACGACATAGACACTCGCTGGCCCTGCAGGTACAAGTTCTCCAGCCTCGACCACGCCCGCACCTGACCTTCCACGCCCACCACCACACCCACAACTATAACTACACCCACCACGTCTACCACCACGACTACGACCACGCCCACAAAAACGACTTTAACTATACCCACCACCATGACTAAGACCACGTCCATTACCACGACTGCAACTACTCCCACCACTACGACTACAAGCACAATCTCATGCTAGCCTAGAATAAATGAGATATCCAACCTCGTCCACGTCCTCTCGCCAGGTAAAAAAACCCAGCGCTTCCCTCTTCTTAAGACACAAGAATCACAGGGATCGCCGTAATGGTTCACTCGAGGTTGGATTCCTGATAGGAGTTGACCTTACCTAACATCTACCACGACGCCGAGACTCAATCAAGAAGTTGGCTGGCAGGATGAACCTTGACCTTGTTTGTCTCGTTTTGTAACACAATAACTCTCCTGTAGCCTCCAGCTCACCTGCCCTATACCGTTTGGCCTCACCTGCTGCTACAAGCGAGCGTTATTAATCTGTGTGTTGTACAATACATAAGTGGTATTGTGTAATGATGACAAACATTAATGTAAACACAACGCCAAACTAGACATACGTCAGTGAGTGCCGTCGTGGCTCTAGTTATTGTCTTGAACATTCACTGAAAGGTGATTCTTATCTTACCCATGTGACTGATGATGTGATATACACAAATTCTTTAACATTTAAATGAATTAAATGGTGACAACTCAAAGGTATCAGGTATCAAGTGTACCCACAAAGAGCACTTTCCTCTACAGATGCAATTTCGTGGTCAACTTGTGGAGAGGAAAACATTGTGTGTCAAGCCACAGATGTTGTGGTCACCTGTAATGTCAGGAGGCCGGTGCTAAGCTCAACGAAGGAGTCACAGGTAACTACGTGTACAGGTGAGACCACGAGCTCACAACATCACCTGTGGTTGTCGAGTCAACTGAGCAGTTGTATTAATGTAGTAATATTGAAAAGTATTTGGGACTTTGATCGAGTTTAGATTTAGTGTTGATAGTGAGAGAGATAATGGCACTGATAACCGTAGATGAAGTTGTAGTAGAAATATTGCTAATTGTGATATAAGTAATACGAGTAGTATTTAGTAGTTAAGGTAACAGTAGACGTAGCAGAAGTTACAAGAGAGGGGACAGTAAGAGTAGGAGCATTTTTTTTTACTCAAGAGTTGTAGAGGAGAAAAGCCAATAGAATTATTAGTTAATCAGGTGTAGTAGCAGTAGGTGTATCACTAACACCAGGTATTGAATTTCTACAAAATCTTTCCTGTATGACACCTGTTGCGTGGTGGCCAGAAACATAATTACCACCAACCTGTGACCACCTGTATGTACCGTAACTTCTCGCTCTGATACCCTCACCTAGCTCCCTCACCCTGACACTTTCACCCTGTCCCTCACCTGGCTCCCTTACCCTGACTCCCTTACCACACACACGCACACACACACACACACACACACACACACACACACACAGTGCATATATTTGAGGAAACAGACGCATTCACCTTTACATATCAAGAGTTTTCCTTATCTGACTGACTCAGTGAAGCCTCGTGACTCCGCAAGGCCATCGATGACTACACACCTACATTTACTAGCTCTTCATTGAGTAAGAAAATAATGTACTCCAAAAATCGATAAAACGAAAATGAAAGTTTGTAAATTGTTTTGTTACAGGAAAAACATTTTGTCACTAATGTATTTAACCGATAATTACTGTAGTTTCAGAGGAGAACACAGAAACACGTAACAATATTGGTGTTATGATAATAGTTACTATAGTTTCCATTATAACACACAAGTTTTTTTTTTTTTTTAGTTCATTACTTTATACTTATGTGTTGTGACGATGTTATGAGTTAATGATCACTGTTAATGGTCGATAACTCACACCAGTAAACTTAAGAAATAAAGGGATTTTTTTTTCTGTGTCTGTGTGTCATTTAAGGTGTTAGTGTGAATACATAACTCTGAGATCAAGTGAAAACAAGTGCCTTATAAGAGAGATGTATGTTTAGGACTCCAAGACAACACCAGTATTAGCAACAACTCCTGGACAACTTCATCACTTCTTTACTGTTACTTGTGTATAGATCCTGTATAACTGAACCAATGTCTGAATATCTTCATTAAAGGAATATTAATCCATGTATATTTGTGTTAATTTACCTAATAATACGATATACAATTATACAGAGCCTTAAGGTAGGAAGAAAACACTGGAGATAAATTTAATATTGATTTAAACTTACGTATATTTTGGTCATAAAATTTAATGTGCATTGTATATTTCCTCTATAATAACTGGGAGAGTCCACGTTGGTTCGGATACTTTAGAATGTAGACATTTATTCTACCAACACATCCTTCATCACGTGACACTGAGGGAGATGCGAAGGAATCAATACTGCCGCTCACCATATTGGAATGTGTGCCAATTAGGAATATATTCTCTGAACACATTGTACCATTCAGGAATTCCAATACTGTGCGCTGGTTTTGGTATCAAGAGGAATCAAGACCTAATATATCCAAGAAGAGCGCAGCGCATTTTTAGTCGTGAGAACCCATGATTTGTGACTGACTATGGGGTTGGGCGTGACTCCCTACTTCCTGTTTAGTTTTTTTTTTTATTCTTGAATATATCGTGAAATGCGGTAATATCTGCCTCAACATCTTTTAAATTTAAACCTTTTCAAGATCAGAGCAGCCAATCAGTAAATAATGCATTGATCATAATTCTGGTCTTTCAATTAATCATGATTTTATTAGTAATTAAAATGCTGTGACTGATCATGGAGAGGTAATAATCTTGACTCTCTGGTATTTTGAGAAATCATATACTTCCCCTTTCCTTGATGATGAAGAGGTTAACTGAGGGCGAGGATTTGGGGATAAAACTCCATTTGCTTATTAATTTCTTCTTACTACTATAAATCCCCCCCACCCATCTCCTTTCTTTCCATCATTGTTGGCATCTTTTGTCCAACATGTTGACGACAATGTTACCAACATTGTTGCAATGATGTGGCTCAACCTTTACTTCTCAGCGCACCTCTGCGCCGAGAAGTAAAGGTGGAGGAATATAATACTTCATAACTCCATGGTGGACTATGAGAGGTATATTGGCGAATGGATACAAAGCTGACACCTAAAGATACCTCCAGGCCACCCAGCTGTAAACTGACTAGCAAGTCTACGGACTTGGCGCACCCTCATTCAACTACTACAAAACCTAAGTTTACAGTTGAGAAAGTGAAGGAGTTTGAGTTCAGTGCCAGCCATTACAGACTCCTTGTCATTGGTCCAGATGTGAACAATATTTTAGTATCCTTGGGTGTTACCTCGTGAATGTACGAAGTATAAGACTGGTAGACTAAGTAATGATGCACCTTGATGACACACACACACACACACACACACACACACACACACACGAGTCAACATCGAACCAATTGCAGTGGCTCCCGGCTCCCCTCGCTAACAATAAAACAATAAACGGACGTAAATATTAGGCTGAAAAAGCATTGAATCCAAATAAAAAGACAACTTTTTATTGTAAAAACACAGTCAAGGCCCCGAGCATTGTGGTGTTGAGAAAGAGAACCTTGTTATATATATAAACACTTGAATCCTTTATATCATGGTTGTGCATATGTTTACTATTATCTTATTAACTATACAACTCACGTTACCAGTATAACAATCAAGAGAATTTTAACAATTTTCAGTGAATAATAAAGGCTGGTGAAGATTAGACAGGAAAAAGATTAAATTTTAAACCTTAACCAACAAACTGTGTTATGAAGACAACATCCCAAGGTCTCACTAAACCATCCAGTATATCAAAACATTCCCGTCACTTAGGTCATTAAAGAACTATCTAACTTTATGTCGAACTTCTATTCCCATTTCCAAATAAAACAAAAAATCTACACCCTGGTCAAATATTCATAAGTGTATAAATAAATAATGTGCCACACGGCCTGGCCTCAGTGAACACACCTAGATAACCTCCAGACCTCCAGCTATAACCCCGGCTCATATAACACAGTGTAACCGGTGGCTCAGGTCTAGAGGAAGATGTGTACAATCGGGTATGAAATTTTATCTTAATACTAAGTTGTTGACAGAGACGAGATATTGATAACCACGAAAACTAGATATTGTGATTGGTGTATTGTTATGAAAGGTAAATTATAATAAAGAAAATAGATTAAAGCCGACACTTTAACCTAACCTAAAATAACCTAATCTAACCTCTAATCTCAGGGGTTTAAGACGTTGTATTTTGCGGGGTTAAGTCAATGTCCTCAGGTGGTTAAGTCATTGTACCTAGGTGGCTACATTATCGTACTCAGGTGGTTAAGTCATTGTACTCAGATGGTTAAGTCACTGTATTCAAGATTCTACGGATAAATTTGGTTGAGTATGAAATAAGGAAAGTGTTTTGGAATCCTATGCAATTTCTTTCTCCTTGTATCACCTTTGCTGATATTTTTCAAGGAACGTCTGTGTGAACCCCCACGTGTTACTGCCACACTTAACGCGCACGCACACACACACACACACACGCACGCACACACACACACACACACGCCTTACCCCGTCTTCCAGAAAAACCCTCTAACTCCACAATCATTATCCTGCAGCGCGGGGATAAAACACAGACGTATAAAGTAGAGTTAAGTGAGATAAACGATCGACTGGTATAAATGTTCTACTTTATGGCGCCATTTTAGGTTAGTAGTAACGTTAAGAGTATTATACACTGTGGGCTGGGCCTCGGCAGCTCTGGGAATATATATACAGTATTTCATCAAACAATAATATCCTGTTTAATAATGTGGTTTTATTAAGCGTTAAATTCCCTGATTTGACGATGTGGTATGTAAATATTATATTTATATTTAATTTTTGAAAATAAAAAAAATTAAGAGTATATTTGCTCGTGTAAACACTGGTCTTCAAACGCTTAGATTTTGATGATATTAGTGACCAAATGATGAGGTTTTTGAGCTGTGTTATCTAATATATTTCTTCAAATGTTGACATTCGTGATACAGTTTAAAATGAGTCTCATTCAAGCTCCGAATTTGGTTTATTTGTGGCAGCACAAAGTGTCCCCGCCAGCCTCTATGACTACACGTAATTAACTCAACTCAAAAAGAATTAATAATTTAAAAGTTCCAATGGCCGTAATAATCCAGTACACAGCAAAATAATTACCGAAATTAAAACAGAACTAATGTTGTTATTTCTTTTTTATCTCATCTGTCCATTTTTCTTTTCTGTGAGTATATTTAGTCCTGTTTCTTTCGATTTACATTATTATCCGTGTGTCGTCCTCTCACGCCTCATATCACTAGACAATGTTACCTTGGTACACTTATATCGTGAAGAGTTAATGAGTTTTAGACGAGTACCAGTATCTCCCTTGAGGCTTGTTTACTGTTCCGTTATAAATGATAATCCCTTCTTGTTACACGTATGTACTTTATTGTATCTTCAAACTTTAAGCCAATCCATAATTATTTTTTTCGATTTTTTTTTATTAGTTTTTTTTTAGAAATTACGATAACTACTTACTTTCAGTCGCTATTTATTAATATAATATTCATTCATAGTCATTATAGTAAATATTAAAATGTACTAAATCAAAATCTAGTGAAAATACAATAAATTTATCATCAGAAATATCAAGCGCTTGTCGACGCCGAAACTAACACGAATATTACAATGTATGAAGAGTGACATGAAGGAGGAAACGAACGTCGCACAGATACGTTCTTACATCACATACTAAGAACGTGAGAGGCTTCGGGACGTGTGACGGCCAAGAGGTGTGACGGCAGAGTGAGAGGTGAGTCCTGGTGAAGAGTGGCAGGTGAGATGTGAGAGATTCCTACTGAGAGCCAGCAACTGAGACACCTCCCCCTTAACAGCCAAGAAGAAGGATGTGACTACGATACTCAACTTATATCACACAAACAACTCGGAAGAACAACAACTTATGGTGTTTTGGTTCTCTGCCGTATCACCATCCTTCATAAGATTCAGGTCATTAGCCTGTGATTAATGAATAAAGTCAGACACTTACGGTGTTGCCTCACCTGTCACCTGCGTCTTGTAATAATTATGCTAACAACTTCGCTAATTTAATCTTTATATCTTAATTATGAGGAGAATTTTTAGCAGAATTTTAAGTTATGGCACAAAAGTGGGATTTTTTTTAATTAAGGTGTATTACCATGTTGCAGGGATTCCATAAATCAGTTAAAATCATGTTAAAAAAGAGATAATGTTAACCTTTAAGTAAACTTGTGGTAAACACTTCACTACTAAGCTTATATATGACAAGAAGTTTAGCAAAGTTTATAGGATTATATGAAGAATTATTCCCAATTTATTTCACATAATGATTAAGCACCCTAACCTAACCTAAAACACACACACACTGTCTTGTTAGTATCCCACAAGTCAATTAAAAGAAAGGCAGTCCATTTAAATTAATAAGAACAGCGTAAATAAAGTATACTGTATATTAAGTCAACGGTACACAAAGAGACAACATAGATGACACTGTACTCGACAACTTTGACTTCCTCATCTGTAAAACTTGAAAGTACAGTATGGGAAGATGATGGAGGACTTTGCCATAAACATACAATAACATTTTTGGCATCAACTCAGGTATTATGACAAGAATATAGGTAAATTTGTGATAAAACTTAAAAAAAAAAAAGGCATGGATATATAAAATTTATGATGAGTTAACAATTTAATACTATAAACATGGGATAATTCACGACAAAGCTACAGTATTGGACTTGAAATCTGCCCACACCCCCCAAAAAAAAACTACAATCCTTTACACTGCATTTCATATTACATACAAATTATAAATACCATCAAGGAATTTAATACCAGTTTTCAAATTACAATGGTAAAATTACAGGATATATCATTGGTTAATCGATGGACGAATAAATATTTGTTTTTCCTGTTGGTAGTGTGGAATAAATTTAACAAAGGTGGTAATTAGCATATAGATTTGTATGATCACTGTGATAACTGTACCTTTAACTGTACCTGTATTATGTATGAATCTTAATGACGTGTATCTGTGACCGTATCTGCGCCTATATCA